TCTGAGAATGATCTCAATGAGAAAACAATTTTATGGTCCAATATACATAAAATATGTATATTTTATACATAGTGTATAAATATATACAAACAAAACAGAAGTTTCACAAAGCAATACATTGTGCAAGATGCTCTAATCTATTTTGTAGTTTTTATTCTTCTTTATTTCAGTTTTTAAAAGCCATCCTTGACCCACTTTTGCAAATGATATATTGAAAAAAAAAAAAACACTGAAACAGATGAGTTCCAAGTTTCTTCCCAACTCTTTATAATAAACTCACCATTAGCCGTCCTGACACAAGACTGTTACAAACTCTGTATTCGGGTTTGAAATGCATAGTGATTCACTCCCTCAATTAGATTGTTTCTGCCATGTGGTATTTGATTTGACTGTTGAAGAACAAGTGGTCCACCACATTGGATGAAGCCAAAAGGGACCTACGTTGAAGCTCGAAGCAGTTGATGTCTGTAAAGAGAAAGCGAGTCTTCGTGTGCTCAGGAAGGGAAACCTCGACAAGCAGGCTCTGTGCAGGAGCAGAGGCCCTGAGTTGCGTTGATGGTGGTTGATGCCCGGATTCTGAGAAGAAGGAGGAACTACCTGCAGGGATGCAGCGAAGATCTTGTCTTTCTGAGGGAGACAGAGCGGGGAGAAGGCAGGAGGCAGACCTACCAGATGGAGGCGGGCTGCGGGCACTCTGTGACACCTCTTCCCGGGCCTTTGGATCTTCACTCAAGTGAATGAACTCATCCAGTGTTTTGTGTGAGTGGCTTTTTTGCATCATTAAAGGAGCCAGTTTGCCTTTGTTTTGATAGGAGGCAAAACAGACCTCAGACAGAATTGCAGGAGCAGAGTTGGAGGGGGCAGAGATGCCGTCCCTCAGCTGTAGGTTACTTTTTACTTCTCAGTTAACTTGACAAAACCCCCATTTTATAGGTGGAAAGGTCAGGTTATCCCATAATTTAGAAGATAAATTAGGACTGAGAACAAAGCTGTCCAAATCCTCCCCCGTGCGTTCCCAGCCCCCTCCCCGGATGCACGGCACAGAGCGGAAGATGAACTGACGACTGGGGCCCCTGAGAGCTGAAGACCCAGCCTGGGCTCCTCTCCTTGCTTCTTGCTCTCGTTTCTTTGGGGCTGGGTTTCCCGGATGAGAAGAGGTGAGTGAGGCAGCAGAACTGACCCGCCGGCCTCAGGCAGGGCTGGGCTTTGTGTCTCCTGCCCAGGAAGATGCCACACTTCTTTCAATGAGCACATGCGACGACAGCCACTCACTCTTGCCTTCGCGTGAAGTCACAGAAAGTTATTCTCCCGTCTCCCACGAGTGAGAAACAACACCACCCCCTCATTCAGGGCGACCTGGAAGGCAGACAGAGGATGGATTGCCTAGCTGAGCGCCTGGTTAGGCTAGTCCAAGCCAGCCACCAAGTTGTACCCAGTCAGGGAGGAGGGCAGGTAGACAGGCCCCCTCCAGGTTTGCGTCTCATTTCAGGTTCTCTTTGTCACACAAACACACCGAAATTAAAGAGCCAGCACCCAACAAATGCACATGGAGAGCAGTGACATCAAGCCACAGTGAAGTCATATTTATAATTAACACTCACTCTCCACCACCCAACAGAGCTGATTAAAAGCCAACAAAATCCTGCTCAGTACGTACCTGATGTGGTTATTTTGGTTCTTTGCAGCCAATAATTGTTTATTCTTCAGGCTACATTTCCTATCATCACGTCTTATTATGTTCAGGACCGCATGTTTCAGTAACAAACTACTGAGGTAAATACAAGTGACTTGGAAAAAAATTTCAATAATTCTTATATTTATAATCTAAAATGAATCCAGTGGAGTGTTCTCAAATTCCACTTGCCCTGGGTGTAACAAAAAGCAGTGAGAACATCAGCACAGACAGCTTCCAGCAGCAGCCAAAGAAAGAGAGAGAGGGAGGGGGAGAGACCTGTGTGTACACAGGAGGAGGAAAAGAGCTAAATTACACCTGCTGTGTAGGAAGAGTGCCTAAACCCTCACCCACTGTACTTTATCTAATCTTACAAACAATTTTGTGAGGGAAATACTATTATCTCAATTTAAAAATCTTCCACAGGCCACACAGCAAGTAAGAGTAAGTGACTGAATGTAGATTTAAATATATTCCAAACCCATGTTGGGTCTACACTGCCTCTTAGGCAACCGGTCCTCCTATCCCACGTACAATCTTGACCTGGATCCCCTTGGACTCTTGGCAATACCAAATGGGATGGGAATTAAGAAAGAGCTGGGCTGAGTGAGGGGAAGTCTCCTCTTCTCTTTGGCTCTCCTGGTCCCCATTGGTGTGTGGCTCTTATGTACATTATCCTTGGATTCCTGGTTTTAAAGCTCAAGATGTCTAGACCCTCACCTGGATTGGGCCAAAAGAACACTGCGTGCTGCATGGAAAACCTTCTAGGCCTAGCTCCAGCACCACAGAGCCACATTATGACTTTCATGGGTTCTAGGCACCTTTGCCTTTGTGGGTCTCTTCCTCCATTAAAAAATATTAAAAATGATATTTTGCAGCTATCTTGGTATAGAGACTAATATAATCCAGGCTGAATTTATTAGTACATATTCATTCATTATTGTTATATTCTTTTTTCCTTTTCATTTTAAAAGAAATTAAAATGAAAACACTTTTAGGGACCTCTGAATGTGGGCCTCGGGCATTGTGCCTACGCACCTAATGGTTAAGAAGTCCCTAGGTCACAAACTAGCTAGGTGACCTTGAGCAAGTCGTATGACCTTTACGTGTTTCCATCTCCTTGTCTGCAAAGCTGGCCTGTCTGGCCCACAGGGAGTGAGTCCGGATCATGGAAGAGAACTGTAGTGCTCAGAATTCAGCCAAGCAGAGCCTGTTACTTATGGCCCGCCCCTGGGAGATGGTGAGGGGCTGCAGGGTGGAATTAGGCCAGCTCACTGGGCTGGGACAGAAGCCAGAAGGGCACTTCTCATCCCAGAAGGGGCTCAGTTTGGCCAAGCCAGTGTGCACAGACACACAGCACAGCAAGTCACAGTCACCAGAAGCCAGCAGTTGGTGTCTCAACAGTTACACAGACCATGGTACGGTTCAGCCTATGTTCCAGCCCAGCAAATCTCACAATAGGGTTCCTGAACAAAACTTCAGCACCGAGACTCGTTTCTGCCTACCTTGTTTCATCCCGGACTTGTTTCTCTAACTTCTGATCCTTTTGCCCTTCTAGTTTGGGCACCCGCTTTTCTACCTCTCTCAACATTCGACTCCTGCTTCACATTTTGCATCTACACTCCTGGCCGGGGGCTTCCTCAGGCCGGTGAACCCAGCAGCAGCCCCTCCTTGGCGCATGCAAAGTCAAGGTGTGCCTGCAGGTAGCTCTGGCTGTACACAGCCTGACACCTCTACTGAGGCCTTGGAGAGAGGGCTAGACCAGACAGCGAGGGATCCTGAGTAGGTGACAGTCAAGTGTAGACAGCACACGGACCGGGCACTCTGGCAGCAAGCAGCAGGCCCGGCCCAGACCAGCAACCACCTCAATGTCCATATATCAGAGAATTGTTGAATAAATGATGGTACAACAGAGAAGCATGCAGCTGTACAAAAGAATAAGGAAGAGCTCTGTAAATGGAAGTGGAGCCTTTTCCAAGACTTAGTGCTAAGTGGAAAAAGCAAATCATGAAAGTATGGTATCCTTTGTGTCAGAAAGAAGGGGTTAGAAATATACATGTATCTGCTCGTTTGTGCAAAAAAGAAACACAGGAGGGACAACCAGAAAATACAATGAGGTTGGTTACCTACAGGGGGTAGGAGGGTGGGAGTGGGGTAGAAAAGATGGTGGGGGAGGGGTGGTAATTAACACTTTCCTGAGCATATTTTTTGTATAGTTCTGACTTCTAGAGTCATATTACTGTCTCACATACTCAAAAAAATAAACGAAATCATCAAGGACTGGGGTACGGTGGGGGAATTTAAAATGGAATACAAACAGAATCAAATGACCCTAACTGTATTTCAAATGAATAAAATAACTACCCTTAAAGGGGCAAGGGGGCAGGGAGGGTAGAACTAACATAAATAACCTTGGAATAACATATTTTGAAGAATTGTAAGTAAATACTGTTCTCTAGTTAGTAGATCTGTTTTCACTGTGGTGTGGGTTACCAATTCCAAAAATACTTAGCTGTATTCTAGGATTAAGCAAATGAGTAAATAAATTGCAGATAATGAGAGAGAGAGATTTCTCTCACTGTTGGAGAGGAAATTTATAAATAAGTGAATGGGGGAGGCTAGAATGAACCCTGTGTGAGATTGGAGAGGAATTGCAGCTGTCAATGTGAACTGAGCTCATGGCTATGTGCACACACACATACACACATGTAAAAATGGATACAGATGTGTGCGTGTGTATATATTTACACACTGGTAGATACATTAGACATATTTCCTAGCTCTGGTCACTGAGGGAGCCTAGAAACAATGTCTGCAGGGAAAGAGAAAACCGACCAGCACACCTACTGCCTAGGTTTTGATTTCTAAATACCATTTTCCAGTAAGAAGAACCAGAGCTCCTTGGAGAAACGGCTGAGTCCAGGGCTGGGGCATTGAAAATACAAAACAAGCCCGGAACATCTTGTGACGTCAAAAACCAAGGATGTGCTCAAAAAGGGATGAAGACATGCCCCAAGGACATAAGAGTCAGCTTGAGGAAGCTCCCACTGGCCGAATATGGGGGAATTCAAGCCACAAAAAAATAACAATGGATTATATCCAACAAAAAAAAAAAGAATCCACGAATCCACATTGATATAAACAAATAGATGGAGAGAAGGGAAAGCTCTTCCAACTAATAAAAATAGCAGAGATGATGGAATTCGAAAATCATCACTTGGAAACTATCCCACGGTAGTAATTGTTTCCAGTTAGGATCATTAAAAAATGATAAATGCATGGGAGGAAGCATGAGAAACAGGATATTTACGTAGTTTCAAAGTATTTACCCACAAAATCCTTATTAATTAGAAAGGGAAAAAATATTAACTTTACAATGGAGAAATCTGGCAGATACCACCTTAATTATGGGATCAAACTGAACATCACTCATAATTTTAAAAATGGATATAAATGAAATGTATGATCGTAAACGAGGAACAGGACATTAGTGGGACAGTTGGCAGACATTGAATAAGTTCTTCCATTAAAGTTGTAACAATGTGAATTTCATGACTTTTATAATTGCATTGTGGTTATGTAAGAGCATGTTCACTTTTTTGGGAAATACACACTAAAATACATAGAGGTCAATACTCTAAAACTCTTCAGAAAATAATTGTGTGTGTGCGTGTGTGTGTATGTGTATGTGTGTGTGTAGATAGAGAACAAATGATTAAGCAAGTGTGGTAAAATGTTAATATTTGGGAATCTGAGTGAAGGGTATATGGAAATTCTTTGTGCTGTGCCTTTTCTAAGCCTGAAATTATTTCGAAAAAAACAGTTAAAAAATATAGCATGAATATTAGTTGCTCATATTAACAACAAAAGGCACCCTTTTAAAGCATTACAATTCAAATTGGTTGGAATGTAACTTTTAAACTGACAACCAGCACATAACACGGTTTTAAAATTAAGATGTAATGTAGTTTCTCTGCAACACTTGCCATTTTTATGTTTTCTTTTAAGTTTGTTATTGATAAGTCATACAATGTTCCTGTCAAGAATCAAAGAATCATAGACTCTTATGGCTGAAAGGGACCCAGAAAAACAATGAGCCCAACCTTTCATTTTAACAATGAAGAAACTGAGGCTCAAAACGCAAAGTGCTTTGCCCAAGGTCACAGCAGAGCTGAAAGGTCACCATCATTATCCTAATGTACCAACTAAAGAAGCAGACCCATGAGGCTGACCCATGCCCGTGCGGAAGAAATGCATAAAAGAGCCGAAGACCAGAACCCACTGACAGCTGAATCCCTTAAGTAAGGATGGAAAACCACATCAGTTGCTAAAAAGTCTTCTGCCTTGGGGCCTGTGGCATGATCTATGTTTTACCATAGTGATGCCAAATAAAGTCATTTCTAGAAACTTCTCCCCTGAAAGTCCTGCCTTGGAGGGCTCCAACCACTGCCTGCTAGATGGAAGGCCCTGGGGAGAGGCACTGATTGTTGGAAGCTGTGACAGACCTGGGTGCCTGCTTGGACCTAGATATCCAGGGTGATCCGGGTGCACTTTGCTCAGCATATTCTATAGGCACAGCAATGACCTTGAAATCAGAAGGCCACAGTCTAGTCTAGGCCTTACCATTTACCATATAATCCATATGATATAATCGGTCTCTATGAAACTAATTTTCTGGTCTCAAAACAGAGATGATACTTGCCCTGCTATCACTGACAACTCAGTGCTCCCCTCAGATTCCCTCAGAATCCTTTCCCCAGTTTTTTTGTGCATCTCCCTGTCAAGCACAAGGCAAAGCCAAGGCTGATAGATTCATCCAGTAAAGAAACAACGAGATCTTTTCATTTTCAGACAGTTTATTACCCACATGCTAACTCAGCCAGAGGTGCCAGTTCCCCATGGTTGCACAAGGGGACACCAAAACACAAGGCATCAGATGACCGCCATACACCTAGTGGGACACCCTGTTGCTGACAAGGCTGTATTATAAATACTTTTAATTTCCTGTATATTATGATGTTTGACACTTTAAGAAACCTTTCTGGCTGGGGAGAGCCTAGCCCTCCTCCCAGGGGGGCCAAATCTTAGAGAGAGCAAAGGGCTGGGGGGGGGGGCTGTGACTTTGATATGCAAATTAACTACCCCAGAGCCCTACCTCCTCTACAGGGCCCCGACACCCCAGGAGGCAGTATTCCTCTACCTTAATGTTCCAGGGCCAGGTGCCAGGCAACTAGAAACCACCTCTATAGCCCAAGCTGCCGATATTATTCAAACTAGCCAGTCCTAAGCTGTTGACCCTGCCCTGCCTTGCATTTCCCGCGGAAACCCCAGGAAAGGCTCTGGCCTGAACCTTCCCTTGGCTCCTGTCTTCCACCTCCCTGCTGTTGTCCCTATGCAGCCCCATGTGGCATGCGTTTCCGGTCTCTAGGAACTGTGAGTAGAATAAATTTTGTTCCTGAGCCTCTATTTTATCTCTTCTTGTGGCTGCACTTGGCTGACCATCTCATACAAGAACACAAAACAGAAGCCAAGGCCGTGTGCGGCTAAGCTGTTGTATAGCCTGTAGCTGTCCCCCAGGTGGGGTTAGGCAGGAAGCCTCAGACCTAGGAGGCAACAAGAACTGTCTCATGATGGCCTCCCAGGGCAGAGAGCGAGGTGAGCAGAACATGGCCTCACAGCATCTCCTCGTAGGCCTCCCGTGCTCTCACGGTCCGGGAGAATCACAGAATATTCGGTCAGCTGCACTTCAAGCTTTGCCTTTGTGGCTTGTGTGCACATGTGCATGGGCACCAGGGCACCAAGGCAGAGCTGTTCCCTACCCTCCCGGTTTGGGTATGCTTTTTGCTTCCAACAGCCAGTACCTGCAGCTCTTTTTCAAAGGACTGGCTCCCACAGCAAAGGAGCAAGAAATATCTGGGAATTTATTCTCCCTCTCCTGTGCACCCCCCACCCCAGGGACCCCTTAACCAACGACTGAGAGGTGCAGAATTATGCCCCAGGGAAGCATAATTTATACTCCGGCATTCTCCTGAAGGATCAGGCTGAAGCTGCCCTGTGGGACTTGGCCTGAGACCTCATACCCTTGGTCGGCTCCCTCCTCTTCCCCATCCTGTCTCCCACACCCCCTTAGTGGTTTCCCCTGGAAGCCATTTCCATACCTAATCATGTGTGCCTTATCTCTGGTGAGGCTGTATTAAGACACTCACTAACCTCACAAGAATGCTGTGAGAATTAATGGAGATAATGTTTATGAAAGAGCTTTGTGAACCAGAAGGACTTACAAATATAATGTGGCCCTGTTATCCCCATGGACATTTCTGAGCCTGTTCTACCCCTCAACCTCCTGTGCTAGTTCTCAGCTAGGACCAAAACTCAAATGTCTCTGCTAATGTGCAGATGTGCCTGTATCAGCTATCTATTGCTGCATAACAAACCAGCCCCAAATTTAGTGGCTTAAATGAGTTATCATTTCCCACAATTCTGTGGATTGATTGGGCAGTTCTTTGGCGGATCTTGCCAGGACTCACTCAGGCCTCTGCATTCAGCCAGAGCGATGGCTAGGGGCTGGGCTAAGCTGGGCAGCTCTGCCTGGGCCAAGCGGTCTTTCATCCCAGTCTTCATAGTTTGATAGTTTGAGAGCAATGTTCCAAGAGATCAAGAAAAAAAACTGCAGAACTTCTTGAGGCCAAGGCTTGGAAGTCACACAACGCCACATTTGACACACTGGACTGGTCAGGACAAGTCACCAGGTTGGTCCAGATTCAGAGAGGTGGAGAAATAGACTCCACCTTGGATGGGAGTTGCTACAAAGAATGTATGGCCATACGTAATCTGCCACAGCACCTAATTAGCTTTGTGGGTCATAACCAGTGGTGCTGATGAAATAGAAGTCATAGGTTGGGTTTCCATACCATTCAGGGAGCACACTGCATCTCCTGATGGTGCCCAGCAGCAGTCGCTCCAGGGCAACTCATTGATCCAAGAAAAGTCTGCTTACAAGAGCGGCTGGATCTGAAGACTCCCATCACCGCCTCCAGATCAACATCTCAACGTGACTGTGGGAGGCCGGGCTCCTTAGCTCCACCTTACCTACACAAGATGGCAGCCTGTTTACTTGGCCAATGTGTGGCTCTTCTCTGAGGGTCCCTCCCCATCACATTTATCCTCCCACAAAGCAAAAGGAGTGAAATTCCTTTGGGCATTCCAGTAGTTCATTACTTGGACAAGAGCTTTAAATATGTAGAGCTCCAACATGCGTGGTGCTGGGTGGGACTTAAGAAGGGCAAGGATGATATTGATGCTCCAGGCTCGGCGGCAGTGCCCGACCAGCACCTGGGGCAGGAAGGAGCATCTCCCAAGGGTGGGGCAGGTACTTACAGGGAGGGTGTGGGTATACTTGGAGAAGAGTGAGGGGCAGAGCAGTGCAGGGCAGGAGGACACAGGGAAGACAAGAGCAGATATGTACGGGGTGGCCTTCCACGGAGACTATTACTCCAGGAGAGAGTACAGGCTGATTGTACCCACTTTGCGTCACCAAAAGTAAAGTTGTTCTTTGTACTGTCCTCACATCTCCCCTTATCTCTGTCACCCTCAGAGAGAGGCAGGATGGGGAAACTGGGCCTCAAAGAGGTTTTGGTGACTTGCCCAGGATCACAGAAGTCATAAAGTGGAGGAGTCCGAGCTTAAACCCAGGCCCCTTGACTCTTCGTTCTCTTTGGATGTGGTTCATTTGTTTCCACAATCTAAGCCTTGAGAAACCTCCAACCTCGTTGTGCCAGATCTCCTCCACCATGAAAACAAACCATGCCTCCTCCTGCCCTCTCCACCACAGGAAAACTAAATAACATCGGTGAGGAGCTGTGGAGTTTCTGGAAGAACCTACAACACCAAGTGCTTTTGAGGCCAGAGGGAGGCCACCTACCCCGCTGTGGTGACTCTTCCTTTCTTTGACTTCCTACTGCTGAGGGCCTTGGACCTCAAAGGACCTTGTGTAAGATCACAAGGGTATCAGGGAACTTCCTTGAGCATTCACTCTTTGCCAGAAGCTGCACTAAGAGAGTCACATACCTTAATCCATTGACTCTTCCCAAAGACACTGTGAGGCAAGTGCAGTTAGCAGCACCACTAGCCCCATTTTTCAGGGAGAGAAACTGCCAGGTTAAGTCATTTGCCAAAGGCCACAGAGCTAGTCAGTGGCTGAGCCAGGACAAACCCACATCTCTCAACTCCGAAGCCCTTTGTCTTAGCAATAAAGCCGCAATGTCTTCTGACATTGTTAGGAGTCCTCAAATCCATTGTCTGTGGACTGGGTAAGAAATATCGACACATACTGTAGAGATTAATAACATACAAATTCATTGAAAAAGCATTAATAAATTCCTTGGAGCTTCTGCACTATATTCTCAAATTGTGTACTAAAATTTCATCTACCAAAAATTGTTGGGCTCTCTGTCTTACAGTCTTTACTACATATACCATGTGTTTAGTACTGATTTGCTTGCCCTGTGCCTCTACTTACCTCTTTGTGTTGTTTCTTCAATCAGATAGACTCCTAGTAAGTGAGACCCCCCCCCCAAAAAAAAAGGTTTCTTTTGAATCCAGTTGGTCCTAGTCCAGGATCTTACCTTTAGAGATAGGTTTAGCTGATTGGTTGATTGCAACAGATTCTGCAATATTTCTCCTCACAAAGACCCACAGAATGGTTAGTCTCAAGTCTCCTGCCCTGTATCACCACCATGGGTGCCCTGATGTGGCTTGTGTGCTTCCAACAGCACCTGGGCGGCAGGGGGGAGGAGGAATAGTGAAAATAACTACCACGTATCTACCAGCTACAATGTTCCAGCACTGGGGATACAGCAGTGACAAAGGAAAGGATGCAGCCCACCTAGTGAGCACATGCGGCATTTCATTAATGCAACCACCTGTTGGGGAGGCATCATCGTCCCCTTTTTATTGATGGAGAAGTTGTAGAGGAGCAGGCTTGAGCTGAGGTTTAGCTCAGAATGTTTCAAGTTAAAAGCCATGACCGATAGTTGGGTTAGTGGACAGTAAAATGTATTTAGTGGGTCATAACTAACATTTATTTTAATGAGTTGGATTGGAATGGAATTTTCAGAGTACATACTGCTATATAGCATGTAGTAAAAATATCATTTGCTGAAACTTTTGTTTCATTTACACACAAACACACACACACACACACACACACACACGGTTACAATATATTTGTTACTGTGGATCATGTTAAAAAACATATGAAAGCCACTGGTTTGCCCAAATCCCAACCTGTCCTTCTGTTTTCTATACTGCCTCTTTGGAGAAAGAAACTTCCTAAAGTATTCTAAGACTTTTTGGAAACTTCCTTGAGCATTTTTGGCCCTGATTACACTCTGGAATATGCTGCCAGGCTCAGGCAGTGTGGCTATGCCCCCATTCTCCCTCCTACTGGAAAGCGTCATCAGGTCTGCTTGCAGAAGAGCTCTGTCCCACGTTAACATTCACAGGCAGCTCCTTCTCACCCAACTATTGTCTCAATTGGTTTTACCAGCCTAAAGAGATACACAATTAGGCTCCATGGCAACCACCAAGATAGGATTGAGATCATCTAATTTTTTATATCACTTAATAATAAAAGGGCAACAAATGATACAAGAAAAAGTATAGATAATACCACTTAATACTTTTGAATGCCAGAATCAGAATAATATATTAGCCATGGAGCCCTCAAGCATTTTAGCATGTAGCCACCAAGACTTGAGACTGGGGGTACAGGATGATGTCTGAAGTTTCCAAGGCATTAATTCCCTTATACCTGATACCAGATTCCTCATCTTGCATTTGTGATCCACCTCTGAGGAGAATTAGGCATTTGGCAGTTCCTCCTGTGTCTGTAGGAGAGGTTGGGATGGAGAGAGGCCGTGGGTGGTTCTATGGAAACAGCACTACTCTATCAATGAGGAGAAGACTGGGTCTAGTCCTAACTCTTTCTCTCATCACATATGGACTTGAGCAAGTCATTTAGTCTATAAGCAACAATTTCTTCCTTTCAAAATGGAAATTAAAAAGGATTTGCTTTATTTATAGAATTATGAATATTAGTTAAGATTGTACAATCCAACTATACACTGTAAACTCATTTTAAATTAAAGGACAGGCATAGGTTGAAAGTGAAGAGATGGAAAAATATATTTCACACAAAGGGCAACAAAAGAGAGCAAGGGTGGTTACACTTATATCAGACAAAATAGACTTTAAGTAAAAAAATTGTCACAGGAGACAAAGAAGGATTTTATATAATGATAAAGGATCAATCAACCAGGAAGACAGAACAATTATAAATACATATATATATATATATATACATATATACCCTCAACATCAGGGCACCTAAATATAGAAAGGAAGCATTGACAGAACTAAAAGGAGAAATATATAGTAATACAATAATAATAGGAGACTTCAATACCCCTCTTTCAATAATGGATAGAACAACCAGACAGAAGATCGATAAGGAAACAGAGGGCTTGAATAACACTATAGAACAAATGAACCTAACAGGCATATATGGAACACCCAACAGCAGCAGAATTCACACAGATCTTTTCCCAGGATAGATCACATTAGATCACAAAGTAATTTTAACATTTAAGATGATTGAAATCATACAAAGAACCTTTTCTGACCAAAATGGAATAAAATTAGAAATCAACAGCAGAAGGAAAAATGGAAAATTCACAAATAGGAGGAAATTAAACTACACACTCTTGAACAACAATTAAGTCAAAGAAGAAAGCAAAAAGGAAATTAGAAAATACTTTGACATTAAAAAAAACACAACATATCAAAACTTATAGGATGCAGCAAAAGCAGTACTAAGGGGGAAGTGTATTGGGATAAATGCCTATATGAAAAAAGAAGAAAGATCTCAAATAAAAGATCCAACTTTATACCTCAAAGAGCTGGAAAAAGGATAAACTACGCCCAAAGTTAGCATAAGAGAGGAAATAATGAAGATTAGAGCAGAAATAGAATAGAAAAATGATAGAAAAGATCAATGATACTAATAGCTATTTTTTTGAGAAAATAAACAAAATTGACAAATCTTTAGCTAGACTAACTAAAAAAAATGAGAGAAGACCCAAATAAATAAAACTGGAAACGAAAAAGGAGACATTACAACTGACGCCTCAGAAGTAAAAAAGATCATAAGCGACTGCTATGAACAATTATATGCCAACAAACTGGATAACCTATGAGAAATGGATAAATTCCTAGAAACATGCGATCTACCAAGACTGAAACATGAAGAAATAGAAAGTCTACACAGACCTATAACTAGAATGGAGATGAAATGAGCAACCAAAAATCTCTCAACAAAGAAAAGTCCAGGACCAGATGGTTTTGCTGGTGAATTCTACCAAACATTTAAAGAAGAATTAATGCCAATCCTTCTCAAACTCTTCCCAAATTATTGATGAGGAGGGAACACTTCTAAGCTCATTTTTCGAGGCAAGCATTACCCTAATATCAAAGACACCAGAAAAAAAGGAAACTATAGGCTAATTTCTCTGGTAAGTATAGATGCAAAAATCCTCAACAAAATACTAGTAAAATGAATCCAACAGCACATTAAAAGAATCATACACCATGATTAAGTAGGATTTGTCTCTAGGATGCAAGGATGGCTCAACATACAAAAATCAATGGATGTGATACACCACATTAACATAATAAAGGATAAAAATCACATGATTGTCTCAATAGATGCAGAAAAAGCAACACATTTTCATGATAAAAACTCGAAACAAACCAGGAATAGAAAGAAAGTACCTCAACATAATAAAGGCCATATATGACAAGCCCACAGCTAACATCATATTCTACAGTGAAAAACTGAAAACTTTTCCTCTAAGATCAGGAACAAGACAAGGAAGCCCACTCTCACCACTTTTACTCAAAATAGTATTGCAAGTCCTAACCAGAGCAATTAGGCAAGAAAAAGGAAAAAAGTCATCCAAATTGGAAAGGAAGAAGTAAAACTGTCTCTGTTTGCAGACAATGTGACCCTATACATAGAAAACCCTAAAGACTCCATTAAAAAAAAACTGTTAGAACTAATAAACAACTTCAGTAAAGTTGCAGGATACAAAATCAACATAAAAAATCAGTTTCATATTTATACACTAACAAGGAACTATTGGAAATGGAAATTAAAAAAGCAATCTCTTTACAATAGCACCAAAAAAGAACAAAATACTTAGGAATAAACTCAACCAAGGAGGTGAAAGATGTACACTGAAAACTACAAAACATTAATGAAAGAAATTAAACAAGACACAAACAAACGGAAGAACTTCCCATGTTCATGGATTGGAAGACTTAATATTGTTAAAATGTCCATACTACCCAAGTGATCTACAAATTCAATGCAATTCCTATCAAAATCCCATTGGCATTTTCTGCAAAAATAGGAAAAACAATTCTAAAATCATATGGAACCACTAAAGACCACTAATAGCCAAATCAATCTTAAGAAAGAAGAACAAAGCTCAAAGTATCACACTTCTTGATTTCAAAACATATTACAAAGCTACAGTAATCAAAATAGTATGGTACTGGCATAAAGACAGACATATAAACCAATAGAACAGAAAAGAAAGTCCAGAAATAAACCCACACATACACAGTCAAGTGATCTTCGACACAATGAAGAAAGGACGTCCCTTCAACAAATGGTTTTGGGAGAACTAGATATCCACAAGCAAAAGAATGAAATTGGACCCTTATCTTACACCTGATACAAAAATCATCTCAAAATGGAATAAAGACATAGAAGTAAGATATGAAACTATAAAACTCCTAGAAGAAAACATAGGGAAAAGCTTCATGACAGTGGTCTTGGCAATGATTTCATGGATACGACACCAAAAGCACAGGCAACAAAAACAAAAATCGGCAAGTGGGACTATATCAGACTAAAAAGCAACTGCACAGCAAAGGAAACAATCAACAGAGTGAAAAGGCAACCTGTAGATTGGGAGAAAATATTTGTAAGCTATATATCTGATAAGAGGTCAATCTACAAAATATATAAAGAACTCATACAACTCATTAGCAAAAAAACTAATAACACAATTTAAAAATGGGCTGAGGACTTGAAAAGACATTTCTCCAAAGAAGACATACAAATGGCCAACAAGTATATGAAAAAATGCTCAACATCACTAATCATCAGAGAAATACAAATCAAAGTCACAGTGAGATATCACTTCACACCATCAGGATGACTACTATCAAAGACAAGTGTCGGCAAGGAATGTGGAGAAACTGGAACTCTTGTACATTGTTGGTGGGAATATAAAATGGTACAGCTGCTATGGAAAACCGTATACAGATGCCTCAAAAAATTAAAAATAGAACTACCATACGAACTACCTAGAAGTGAGCAATCCCGCTTCTGTATATTTATCCAATAGAATTAAAATCAGGATCTTGAAGATATATTAGCACCATCATGTTCATCACAGCACTGTTCACAATAGCCAAGGTGCGGAAACAATCTAAATGCCCATTGACAGATGAAAGTGTAAAGAAAATGTGGTATATATATATATATAATGGAATATTATTCAGCCTTAAAAAAAAAAAGGAAATTCTGCAATATGTGACAACATGGATGAAACTTCAGGACATTGTGCTAAGTGAAATAAACCAGTCACAGAAAGACAAATACTACAAGATTCCACTCATATAAAGTATCTAATCTAGTCAAAATCATAGAATCAAAGAATATAATTGTGGTTGCCAAGGGCTGGGGGAGAGGGAATAGGGAATTATTAATCAATGAACATAAGGTTTCAGTCAAGTAAGATGAGTAAGTTCTAAAATCTGCTGTACAACAGTGTACTTATAGTCAACAATACTGTGTTGTACACTTAAAAATGTGTTGAGAGGGTAGATCTCATATTAAGTGTTCTTACCAATATAAAATTAAATTTTAAAAAAAGATCATATCAGTGAAAGCATTTTGTAAATATAAGGCAAGTTTCTAAATTTAGACAGTAGTAGCATTGGTAAAAATAGCAGTAGTAATAGTAGAAAAAATAGTAGCAATGTAGTTGCCAATGCTTCTTACAGGTTCAAAGTTCTAGCAACATCAGAAACTTGGTAAAGCACAATTATAATACAGTGTGGTCTCAAGTGCAAGAGAAAATAAATATAAAGTACACTAAACTATACACAATAAAGTATATTTTAGAAGGAAATACATCTAACAATGTTAGCAATGATTGACCTGGGATAGTGGGATGGTGGGTTTTCTTCCAATTTCTATATTCCTGAGTTTTCAAATTTTTGTATAATGAACATATAAATATATTTTATAACGAAAAAATAAATATTTATTAAAGATAACAAAAAAAGATAGCATTAATTTTTTTAAATAAAGAGAATAAATGATTCCTGATTGAAAAGAGAGTCAAAAAGTTCTTTGGAAGAGCCAGGGCTTCCCGGCAAGGAAGATCCATGAAGTCAAGATCCAACTTGCACTCATATTGCCCAGAAAAAATGCAACATGAATATCTGAGTCCCTAGAAAGTTATTGATATTGCAATAAATAAAATTGTATTCATCAAGTTTTACCAAAACTAAAATTAAATTAATTAAAATTTTCTCCTTAGCTATGTGACTTGGGAAAGGTTTTTAACCCTTCTGAGACTCCACTTCCTCAGCTGTAAAATGGCAGGAATTTGGTGAGGATTAAATGAGGCGATGTATATGAAAGCCCCCATTTGTTCCTTTCCTCTTCCAGCAAGGACCTTTCACGTCTTTTTACTGTAACCCCTTGTTTTATTTGAGACTCTTTTATTTGCAAATAATTGCAACCAACTAGAACCAGCTTAACCAAGACGAAAAAAGGCAAATGTACTGGAAAGACACAAGAGCATCTCACAGATGGCCAGGCAGAGGCAGAGCCAGGCTTCAGGGCATCACGGGGCGCCTGAACCAAGAACCAGCAAGCTGTCACGACTCTGAGCACAGCTGTGACAGCCTGCCTCTGGGGCCACACGTCTTCATGCCTTCACTCTCCATGACATTCACTCCACCTTTCTCCCCCTGCAGATGGACAGCGTTTGCTCTCCTTCATTATTGCAGCCCCACAGCTCTCCAGTTTAGTCTCCTCAGGGCCAGCCTCTCTCAGAGACTGACAGGAAGTTGCTCACTCTCAACACGTAATGCAGAGGAAGAGGTAGCTGATTGGCAGCATAGGTCATGTGTCCACTCCATGTCCAATCAACTCTCTCTTGTTCATCCACCTTTGGAGAATTGGACCCTCTCCTCAGAAAAATGCACATATATGGGATTTTTACAGATAATTTCAAGGGGTTCACAGACCTTCTGAGGCACAACTATGAGCCATGGATCCCAGGTGAAGAATCCCTGATCAGGAGACTTTTATTGCTATAACTCACCTCTTTGTTACCTCTTTCATATGCTAAAGTGAATCGTTAATATAATTAGCACAAGGGAAACGTTCATATTCCAGAGGCACTTCTTATAACGTGATCATAACAAAATGCTCCTTGGATACAAACACAACAACAGCAATTATATTTTACTTCTAATTTCTAATTGACGATGGCAACCAGCACATGTTTTTACAAACCATTCCTATACATCCCTGTTAGCTCAGCGCCTGCCTGCAGTGCCAGCAAATAACGTTTCCACAGGATTGTTTGGCTGTATCACTTGCCATGCCCCAGAACTTATACACACCCACACTGTCCTCTTAAGATGGGTGTGAATTCTAATCTCCTTTCCTTTCCTATTTGCCGCCTGGAGGCTGTGAGATATGGAACCCTTGTCTCAGATGAATGACTTCCAGCCAAGATTTTACACCTGTCCTATGTGCCCTTTCTAACACACTACCCTAAGTTGCATGCTTCTGTCAGGATTCTGAGTCACAAAAACACACCATAACCAGACATATAGCTCCAACTGATTTGAGAAGGGGAAAGAGAGAGAGAGAATTATTAGCTCATTACATAAGTATTAACTCACATAACTGAAAATTCCAAAGTAAGTAGGACTGACATTAGGTCCCATTGTACCCAGAGACTAAGGTCATCCAGATCAAGCCCCCTTATCTCTTTTCTCATCTCCCAATTCTGCTTTCCTCTTTGTTGGCTTCATCTCAGACAGGACGTATCCACATTGAACCCCTGCCAGCTCCAGGTTTATAGCTAGCACCCCCAGGAGAAGAAGAGCCTCTCCATTCCAACGGTTTCAACAAACCCTCAAAACTGAGTCTCTTTGGGGCAACTTGAATCATGTGTGCATCCCTGAGCCAATCATTGTGGCTAGGGAGATGGTAGACACTCATCTGCCAGACTGAGGTCACGTGGCTCTCCCTGGAACCTGTCCACCCAACTACCAGGGGGTCTACACCACCACAAACTTATGGGATAAAAGTGGTTCTTCAAAGGAAAATCAGAGCTATTGTCATAAGAAGGAGGGATAAACAGGAGGCAGAAAAAAACATAAAAGCCCGTTACCTTATTAAATTGCCATTTCCTTTTTCTTTCATTGTCTTCTTGGAATCTTAGTTGTACAGCATCTTTTCACACTCTAGAACAAAGATAGCTACGTGAAAGCTCAACACCCACTCTGAGCATCTCTCCACTCCAATACTATCCTTCTCTAGTGTGAAGCATGACTCAAGATGGCAGACCCTGGAACTCCTGGGCACCAGAGGGACACATGATGGAATGGGAATATAGCCTCATACTCTCCGTAGCTCACAGCCTAAGCAAGAATATAGATTTGTTTTCTAGTCTTAGGTCATTATTACTGGTTTTATAACCTCAAGAGTAATTCTATATATACATGCCTGGGCTTCACAATTTGTGACTAGAAAACAAGACCATCTGCTCGTAACTGAAGATAATTAGAAGGGAAATAGAGATGACCTGGAATTTTTTTTCTAGAAACATACAAAAGGGCTTCTAATCAAGCACACAATCTTTCCCAGTTTGTTCTCATTGTGCAGTAACCAGTGTAACTTGGTCTGTATCTTCTCTAAAGCTTAAGAGAAAGTAATTGAATTTGCTTCCTAAACCCTATTTAATACTAACTCTTGCCCTGCCTATTTCACAGTAGGCTCCAAGAAGCAAATGAGATAATGTGTGTGAACATACTTTGAAAATTATAAAGTACAATTCAAAAGCAAGCTATTATTATTATTAAATAACAATTAAACAGTCATTTATTAAATCTTTCAACGATTACTTTCTAAATATTTATGTTTTTCAAGCATCATGGCATTTTCTAGGGCTATGAAAATGAATAGGACAGTCTCAGAAGTAATATACTTTCTAGCTGGGGGCAGACACGTGAACAAGTAATTATAATACAGTG